TATATGTATATGTATATGTATATGTATATATATTGCTGTGAAGTGTCATCGATTGATTCCGACCCATAGCAGCCCTGTATAGGGTTTCTGAGGAGCAGCTGGTGAGCTTGAACAGCCGATCTTGCAGTTCAAATGGCTTTGCAGTCTGGTGCATTAGCCCACAGTGCCACACCAAGACTCTCTCTATATATATGAGCTCTGGTAACATAACGGTTACAAGTTGGGAAGGTCAGCAGTTCGATACTACCAGCTGTTCTGTGGGGAAAAAGGTGAAGTTTTCTGCTCCTGTAGAGATTTACAGCCTTGGAAACCCTATGCAGGGTCGCTATGAATCGGAACTGAATCCATAGGACATAACCACCACCATATATATATATATATGTCCTGGCGTGGTGTTACAGGATAATGAGCTGGACCACAGGGTCAGTTTGGGTCAATTTGAACCACAAGGTTGGCGGTTCAAACGCATCAGATGTTCCTCGCAAACCCTATTAGGATCGCTATGGGTCAGAATTGACCTGATGGCACTAACAACAACTTTATATATATATATATGGATTCTGAGGAACGGCTGGTGAGTTTGAACTGCTGACTTTGCAGTTCAAACCAACCTTGCAATTTGGGGAGTCTGCTGTAAAAGACAAAAGAGCTCTTAAAAATGTTTAAAAACAAAGACATCACTTCAAAGACTAAGGTGATGGTGAAGAACATCGACTGCACCATTTACTGCCAGAAGAATGAACAAATTGATCTTAGAAGAAGTACAGCCAGAAAGCTCCTTGAAGACACAGAAGGGGAGACTTTGTCTCATGTACTTTGGACATGTTATCAGGAGGGACCAGTACCTGGAGAAAGACATTATGTTTGGTAAAACTGAGAGTCAGCAAAAAAGAGGAAGACCCACCACAAAATGGATTGATACAGTGGCTGCAACCATGGGCTCAAACATAGCAATGATCGTGAGGATGGTGCAGGACTGAGCAGTGTCTCATTCTGCTGTACACAACAAGTTTGCTATAAGTTGCAACTGACCCGATGGAATCTAACAACAATGATATTGTTTCTCCCAAATAATTAAAAAAAAAAAGACAAAAACGTTTTACCCATCTATGTTGCTGTTAAGTGCTGTCCATTGAGTTGTTTCTGACTCATAGTGACCCTGCATAAGGTTTTCGAGGAGCAACTGGTAGGTTTGAACTACCAAGCTTGTGATTAGCAACCTAGTGCTTATTCTGCAGTACCACACAGTTATTTGCGTAGTGTTAGAAGTGGACTACTAACTGCTCCTGTAAAAAGATTTACAGCCTTGGATACGAGGGTCGCTATAAGTCAGAACTGACTTGGCACAAAACCACCACTACCAAAGGTGAAAATAACCATCAGGTTAATTATTCTTCTTGTTGTGGTTGTTGTTAAGTGCCATTGAGTGGATTCTGACCCATAGTGACCCTGTATAGGGTTTCCAAGGAGCAGCTGGTGAGCTTGAACCACCAACCTTGCAGTTCAAACGACTTTGCAGTCTGATGCATTAGCCCACAGCACCACACCAGGACTACGTACACTTTAAATACTTATAACTGCTATTTCTAAATACACATACAAAATGGATGACAGTCCATTAAGGAGCTAGCTGATGTTTTGGTGTCTGTTTTCCATTATTAATTTCAAGCTACTATTATATTAATTAAATGTCCCCCAAAGTTCTTAATTCACAGCAATTAGGGATAGATTTTAGTTTCTTTAAAATTGACGTCAAATTGTATTCTGTGACTCAAAACAACTTTTTCACAGTCTTACTAAGAATAAAAAAGGACAAAATAACACATTCTGTATTTCAAAAATTATGTCATGTTATAGTGCTGCGAGTTAATGCACTGGACTGCAAGATCGGTTTGAGCCGCAAGGTCAGTGGTTCAAGCTCACCAAGCTCTCCTTGGAAACCCTATACAGGGTTGTTATGAGTTGGAATCGACTCGACGGCATTAACAACTTAACAACATCAAATACAAACCAAAAATTCCTTGGGATGTATAGGAAAATATGGCAGAAATACTCAAAAGAAAAGAGAAGTTGTCTTCCATAGTAAGACTATAGGAGACTTTCTTTCCTATATAGGAGGGGGTTTAAAAAACTATTTTTCCATTAATTCACTTCTGTTGGGGTGGGGGGAACACACAAAAACAAAACTTGGTAATTTATGGAATTACCTTATAAAAGATGCAGTCTCTCTATTACGTTGTTATGTGCTGTGGAGTCGGTTCCGACTCATAGCGACCCTGTACAGGGTTGTTGAGGCTGCAAATCTTTACGGGAGCAGAAAGCCTCATCTTTCTCCCATGGAACACATGGTAGTTTCGAACTGCTGACCTTGCGGTTCACAGCCTGATTCATAACCACCACGCTACCAGAGCTCCTTCTCTCTATTATAAATACACTTAACTGTCCAATTATTCTGATAAATAGCAACTTTACATGACAGCGTAGAACTGCTCCATAAAGTTTCCAAAGTTGTAAATCTTTAGAGAAAAACAGCCTTACCTTTCCCCTAGGGAGTGGATTTGAACCATCGACCTTGTGGTTAGCCGCCCAATGCATAACCCACAGCATCACCAGGGCTTCTCTAGATACCGAGGTTAAGTTCACAAAGATCATGACACCAGAAAAGCAAGAGACACTGCGATATGTACAGTTTTATGAAAGTTCTAACAGCTAATATCCTCAAATACTACACATCCTCCTCATCTGAGAATCATAAAAGGCCAACCATAGCACACACACACAAAAAAAGCAGTTATAACATCATTCATTTGAAACGTGGCTCAAATAAACACAAATTATATAGCCTCAAACATCCAATCCTAAACATTTCAATACCCTCTGCTGGACTCCAAGTCACATGCACATTTTCCGTTGGAAGGAATGGACCTAATTGTCCCTTTTCGAGAGCCTTACTCAGAATCGCTACTCGCTGAGGAGCAGGAACACGAGTCGCTGACCCAGTCTTCAGAGTTACACTCCTCATCTTCTCGTGAAGGGTCTCCAGGAAGTTCATCTGAGCTCCGACGCAAATTAAACATAGCCGGAACCGCCATGGTCAGTGTTGTGGCAGCTATAAGAGTAACTCAAACTCGCAGCTACAGTTTACCGGGTCGCCATGTTGTAGCCGCTTGGGAAGGGGCAGAGGACACGTGGCCAATAATCCTTAGCTGCAATTGGTGGTTGCTGGGTTGCCAAGGAGACGGGAAAGCGTCTCAGAACTGGGAGGACGGGAAGGCGCCACAGAGCTGGAATTTCGTTGAGGGTGTTTTTGTCGGAGGAGTGCTAGTAGCTGCGGTCTACTTTCCCTGGCTCTGTGGGTTAATGCGCCGAACTGCAACACCGTTTGAATTGCAAGGTCGGCGGTTCAAGCTCACCAGCTGCTCCTCGGAAACCCTATACAGGGTCGCTATGGGTCGGAACCCACTCGCCGACACTTAACCATAACAAACGCATTCCTGATGTGGCGCTGTGGAATAAAGCATTGGACCGTAAGGTCGGCTTGAACCGCAAAGTCGGCGGTTCAATCTCTCCAGCCGCTTTTTGGAAACCCTGTACAGGGTCATTATGAGTCAGAACCTACTCCAAGACACTTAACAACAAACACACTCCAAGGAACTCTAGTAGCCTAGTAGATAAGCACTGAGCTGCTAATCAAAGTTAGAAGTTAAAAAACCCTTCAGACGCTCCACTGGAGAAAAACGTGGTAGTTTGTTTCTCTAAAGATTACATAAACCCTATGCGTCAGTTAGGAGTACTGGTGTGGCGCTGTGGGTTAATGCGCCAGACTGTAGAGCCCTTTGAACCGCAACGTTGGCGGTTCAAGCTCATCAGCTGCTCCTTGGAAACCCTATACAGGGTCTCTATGGGTCGCGACTGACTTCACAACAACAAAATGTGTCAGTTTATATGTTATAGGGCCAGTGTGAGTTGAAATCCACTTGCATGCACACTGCAACAAGCAAAGTTATTTATTAAAATAAGCAGAGACTCGCTGGGTTTCCCTCTCCACCCGCACCCCCTCAGTGTTGACATCTTCTAGTTTGCACTTTGTCTTGAGTTCCTAATACAGGAGAGGCACTCATAAGGAAATACATTAGAATCACTTGGGGATATTGTTAAACTGCAGGTTCTGATTCAATATACCTAAAGTGGAAATTCAGATTATTAGTGGGGTCGGGGTCGGGGTCGGGGTCGGGGTGGGGTGGAACCAGACTGAACCCTTTGGAAGCCTTGGTTTCCTTTGAAGCAAAGGAAACTACCCTTCTCAGAGCCACTATATCCTTGCAGGAATGAACTCTCTTCAGCAATGCCCTGTAGGTGATAATGTAAACACACTCCATCTTCATATGGTTTGTGATGTGGTAAAAAACATTCCAAGTCTGTTTAAGTACATATAAATAGTTGTTCTGGTACATACACACAATGGAATATTATGCTACCTTGAAGAATATAAATAGTTGTATTAATGGCAAAGGGTGTTTTGAAAAATATAGAAAAAGAATCAAGAAGTCTTTGAAAAAGTGTTACATGGAATCTAGAATTACCGAAGTTGATAAAGGCAAAAGCCAAAATTAAAGGGGGGTACATTTGGGATATTTCTGATTGGACAACACAAAGTTGCAGGTGGCAGAATCTTGGTTGACCACTTTTACAGAAGTTGACTTCCTTTGTACCGATGACTATAGGTCACAGGATTAGAGCTGACTTCAGGTGGGGCCTAGTAGGGTAAGTACTGGACTACTAACTACAAGTTGGTGGTTCAAACCTACCAGCCTCTCCTTGGAAACTTTATACAGGGTCACCATGAGTTAAAACTGACTTGATGGCACTTAACAATAACAATATCAACATAAGTGCCCTGGAATAAATTTAAAATATAGATGTAAACTATCACATAATTCACAATAAAACATTAAAAAAAATAAAAGGACATTGAGAGGAATTTTTTGAGAATTGACTAACCATCAAAGTCACATGTTTCCTGGCATGTTAGATCATCTGGACACCTGTAGCTCTGTTTCTGAAGTCAGCAAAGCTGGACCAGTTTTCTGAGAAATGATCAAGGGAGCAATGATGGAGCTGGGTTTGTATTATACTGATGGACTCTGTTAAAATGTGAAAGTAAACAGTTTTCTGAAAGAATAAAAGGCCCACAATTGAAAATGCTAAATATTCTGATGCTCAAGGGGAGAAGAAGTGTTTTGATACAGAAAAAGCTATAAGCATGTCTTTATTTAACATTAGTTAATTCTAAGTTATAAGTACGTTTCTGAAGCTTATCCACAACTTGCTGTCTTTAGCCCCTATGTGAGCAAGGTAAGCCAAATCATATTTTTCTGCAGAACTGCTTGTTTCTAGGTCAAAGGTACTCTGGAAATTTCTACAGGGGTGCCAGACTGCACTATATGACAGAGGCTGACTTACAAGACATAAAAGGGAGTTATTTAGGATAAGAAGAGATTTGGTTTAGATCTTTGCTAAAAGTTTCAGTGGTGTCAACAGCATTAGTTTTTAATTGTTCTTCCTCCTTTCACAATTACAAATATTTCTACACTTCTCCCAACCATGTTTACCTGTTATTGTAGTTGTAAGTGCCTTTGAGTCAGTTCTGACTCATAGTGACCCTATATAGAGTTTCCAAGGAGCAGCCGGTGGGTTATAACTGCTGACCTTGTACTTAGCAGTTCAGTGCTTTAGAGTGCTTCAAATAGGTGGCAATATTGTAAAACTACAGATTCATGTTCTATTCAAAGTTGGAAATGTAAACGAGTAAATCTCATTACTTATCAATACCTAAATCAAGTGTTTTTTTGTAAGTATAAGATAATAGCTATTATTGTGTCAGCCCTTGTTCTGGTCACTTTCTTTATTTATATACTATGCTACAGAATCCATATACTTTGAGGGTGATAATACTATTGTCCTTATATTGAAGTAAGTAAATTGAGACTTAGAGAGGTTATTCTTTTGCTAAAGGTCACACACTCTAGCAGGCAATAAAACCAACCAAGTTTGAATCTAAGTTATTAATCACTATATTAATTTTCCTCCTTGTAATTCAACTACTAAGTAATTTAGTCTAAGAAGGGTTACAAATAAAAGTGAAAAACTGAAAGCAATCTAAATGTATAACATTAGGACAAAAACTAAATATATTAAAATATGATGGATATTATGCTAACAAATGATTTCAAAGAATAATGCATGGGGAGAATGTCATATTATTGCAAGTAAAAAAGATATAATGTTGTTTTATGATCTCACTGCATGAGTGCTGGGAATTCATTTTAAACAAGATGGTAGAAGGTGGAGACTGAAAGACAGGCATTATAGTACATAGTGTTAAGTATTATGAAAAATACAAGGTTCTAACGGAATATCCAGAATTACAGAGGCTCTGTAGGATAAGCATTGGACTGTTAACTACAAGGTTGGTGGTTCAAGCCCAACAGCCACTTCATGGAAGAAAGATGGCACTTTCTGCGCCTATAAAGATTTACAGCCACAGAAACTTACACAGAGTCACTGTGAGTCTGAACCAAGTCAATGACAGTTAACAACAAATAAGAATGGAATATCCAGAGGAAACCAAACTAGGCCATGTGGGGCTATAGTAAAGTTCATAGAAGAAGTCTTAATTCATTTTGTTAGTATGGGATATAATTAGTATGGGAGATAAGTTATCGAGGGACCCACAGTGGTATATGCATGGAGAATACAAAAGAACCAGGGCAGTAGCTGTTAAAACAGTATTCACATTTTCAAGTTGCAATTCAGTTTCATTTGTCACATTATACTATGTAGATTTGAATTTTGGAGTTTTATTTGCATCAGTTTTGGGGGATTTCTTAATATCCAGATAACCAAACACAAAACGTAAGCCAAAATCTAATTCTAAAGAGTTAGATATTTAAATTTCTAAACGCACTTTTTATAGTTATATAAAAGCTATTGAATATTCTTTTGTAATTTATTTGTATTAATGTATAAAATTGCTTTTTAAAAATCTCATATAAGAGATATAACTCACAGTTTACACTATTTTATTTAACATTATAATAAAAAGATTTAAGTCAACCCTGTATGTCTACAGAGATTTTTTTTCCTCGAAAGAAAACCATATATTACTCAAGTTGAAGAACATACATCTAGTTCATTCATATGGAGGTCATGGGTAAAGAGATACAGAGGAATATGGCCGTGACACCTCTTTTCTTGGATGTAGAAGGAAAAACCAAAGGTACAGGCATGGACGCTGCAGGTTGAAGCAGGAAGCTGACGCAGTGCCCATGTGATGGTATGTATTTCACTGGTAAGTAGAAGGCAACTAAAAGAGGGAAGAATTAATGAGGTCAGAAGGAGAGAGTGGAGTAAGGAAGGAAAGGGAACAAATATTCCCATCAACATTGAGGTCCAATAAAAATGGATTACTTTTTGAATCAGAGAAACAATATATATAAAAAACACTATAATAGTCATTTTATATTTTGTGTTAAAATATATGCATATATAATCTAAAGCTACATAGGATTCCATTCTAAAATAAAAGGTGCTTTTTGTACCTTTTTAGTAAGCTAGCATTTCTTCATTTGAAAATGACCTTATCAGAAGTTTTAAAAAATCTTAAAATTGAACAACAACAGTACTTTTCTTCCTATAAAGTATATTCCATTTGTTTTTTCCTATTAATATATAATAATTTCATATCTTGCTCATAAACCTTCAGCTGTTGTTGTTAAGTGCCATCAAGTTGAATCCGACTCATAGTGACCTTGTATAGGGTTTCTAAGGAACAGCTGGTGGGTTTGAACAGACTCTGAGAAGCACCTGTTGAGTTTGAATCAACCTTGCGGTCCAGTGCTTATCCTACAGCACCACACCAAGACTCCATAAACCTTCAGTTGTTGTTGTTGTTGTTGTTAAGTGCCTTCGAGTCAGTTCCGACCCATAGCGACCCTGTTTAGAGTTTCCAAGGAGTGGCTGGTGAGTTTGAACTGCTGACCTTGTGGTTCATGCTGACTTTGCAATCCAGCGTATTAACCCACAGTACCACACCAGGACACCACACCTTCAGTTGTTTTGTTGTTAATTGTCATTGAGTCAGTTCTGACCCATAGCAACTCTGTATAGGGATTCTGAGGAGCAGCTGGT